CCCTGTGCCACGTGCTCCAGGTGTCCCTGCTGGAGCAGGGGGGTTAGACTAGATGACCTCTAGAGGTCCCTTCCAACCTCAACCATTCTGTGATTCTGTGTGATTCTGTGATTCAGGACCAGTCCCACATTTTTCCTTGTCTTCCTTTTGCTGGTCATATATCTCTAGAACCCCTTCTTGTTGCCCTTCATACCCCTTGCCAAAATCAGCTCCAGGTGGGTTCAGGCTTTCCTAACCCAATCCCTGCACACTCAGGCAGCATTAGAATATGAATGCACGTGACTTTTACAAGAGAAGCTCCGTCTTACAGTCTCTGTTGGAGTTCTCGGAACAGCTCTTGTGAAGCTACCGCAGTGTGCTTGCATTTCCAATAATCTCTTACAAAACACTTTTACAATAGCAGCTGCTGTATTATGAGAGAAGGTCTTTCGTGGATAAATCAGTGGTTCAACCGTGAAAAGTGAAGGGTAAATGAACTGTTCTCCCAATGGAGAGATGTCAGAAGTGGAGTTCTGCAGGCATTTTTGCTGGAATCTGTGCTATTTAATATATTTGCAAGTCACCTGGAAAAGCAGGTGAACAATGAACTGCTTTTTAATGATGATGCTATCAATGATGCTATACTGTGAAGAAGTGCAGAATATTAAGAGACAGTAAAAAGGCTGACAAAGTTAAATATAAAGAAATGCAATGCAAACAGGTAAAAAAAATTACTAACTTCACACAGAAAGTGATGGCCTTAAAGATGATTGGTAAGAGTGAGTGTGAATCATTTTGGTGAAAGTTTAATGAATACAAGATAAATTTTTAAATTAAAAAAAAGAAAAACTAAGCACAGTGATCAGTAGCAGCTAAAATGAATTTTAATATTAGAAATTACTAGGAAATGAATTGAGAACAAAAGAGAAAGTGTCATTGTGCCATTGTTCAAATTGTTGGTTTGCTTATAGCTCAATGACTGTGCAGCTCTGAGGCCCTCGTGTTAAGAAGGCTATAGTAGAATTGAAGAAGGTACAGAGGAGGGCAGTAGAATGATTCCAGTCATTCAGCTGTTGTTTCATATAGAAGCTATCCCATAGGTTGGAGGAAAAAGACAAAAACAAAACCCTCATACACACAGGGGAGGCAATAAGGAGCTAAAAGCTCATTAGCAGCTTGGCAAAAAAAGGATACAAATTGACAGATAGGACACAAGTTCAAAACAAACTAGAGAAAGTTATTGTCACAGAAACTGTAGTAAATTCTATGTCAAAAACACTGTGGATACAGTAAATTTCCATGCGTGATAGGGAACAAGCGCATCAGAGAGAATCCACTGAGGATATTTAAAGCAGAAATGGTCTCTGGCTCAGTAAGTGTAAATAAGAAAGATGTAAATATCTGGAAGATGTGAAGGGACTATGGAAAGTACTCTTGGTCTGTTTCTACTCTTCTACTGCCATTTACTTAGGACCACTCTGGAAGACACAGCACTGGTCTGGACACATCTTTGGACTAAACCAGTAAAGCTGTTTTAAAGTTCTCACCTCAAGCAAGCCTCTGTAATGCCATAACTTCTGTTAGGCTCTATTTTTCTCTAAGTTCCCCTTTCTTGAGCAATTCTCTCACAACAAGTCATCTGGTTGGTAACATGCTGCAGTGTAAGAAACACCAATTAATCCAGTCAAAACTGCAAAATAATAAGGTAGAAAACAATTACCAAAACAAGTAACTTGTTTCAATGATTATAGGCACTAGTAATAAATAAATCAAAGGCAGCATCTGACTATCTCTAATGAGATGGGTATTCTGACTCTTTTAACATTCCTACTCTTGTAATAAGAAGACAAATGAGGGGCAAAATACAAGAGTTAGCAATATTGAGATTTCATAGGAAAGCAGTGCGGGAACAAGACACTGCAATCCAAGGATTAACAGAGGCATGATTATGTGGTAAAAGCCCTGAAATTCCTTCTGTCATTGTGAGGATAAACAGAGGTGCACTGTCAGTTTTGCCAAGTGATCAGCAGAAGCCTAGTAGCTTTTTGTATTATACTTCTGTCAGAAATAAATGAAATAAATTGCACAAGTAAGAGACTCTTTGGGAGGCAATGTCTATATCTAATTGGGAAGCAGTGTGTACCAACAGAAGTGATTCCTTACAGCATAAGGGTTAGGGTTGAGTAAAGTTACACCATCTTTCTCTGCACCTCCCCCCCCCTTTTCTGATTTAAGGTTTTGGAAATAGGTATGATCTAGTTCCCTTTACTGAATGCCCATTAGAAGCCAGAATGCATTAAGCTTGTTCTTGAAGCGTGTTTTTCACTTCAATTTTATCTTAGAGTCACATGGTCTAAGACTGCTTCACAAAACAAGCCAAATCACAGTAAGTGGAGACAACCAGAACAACTTAAAAAGTGAACTTCTGATGAACTAAAATGCTAGGGTAAATGCAGCCACTGCACTCCACATTCTAATATTGCAGATGGTTATTCCCCTCTTCTTAGGTCACTTCATAGCTAAATATTTAATGTCAGTCACACTCAGAAGACATTGCAGCATTCTACTATGACAAATTAAAACTCATCTGGGTGGCCAATATGCACTTCAGCATATATATATATATATATATATATATATGTATGTTCGATGACTATTACAGTTTATATGATGTTCTATGATTCTGTAGTTCTGATGGAATTCCAGAATTTCTTCCACTTATCCATCCAACCAATATAACAATTAACCCATATTAAAAGGTAATATATGCATATTGTGTAGGCTACCACTCCTAAAAAATGCAGACTCACAAATTACAGCAAGCACTTTTCTTGTATATCAATAATGAAAAGCATACAATTTAACAGATCAGACGTCCAGGACTCAAACACAGAAATACTACTATAGGGGCCTTGAAATAAGCAGAAAATCAACAGAAATAAGCAGAAAATAAGATAGAAAATCCTAACTAAATGCTCAGAACTATTTAAGTTACTGCCCAGTGGCTGGAAGGATGTAAATGTTCACATTTATTTCTGCAATGGACAGATGGAGGCACTTCTTTCCACCACATCACCTCTCAAAGTTAGCAGAAACTAAATAATTCCTTAAAAGGAAGGATGACAATAACCAACTTATTCCTTCAGTATGAGTGGTAATAACTAAAAATATCTAAAATCCACAAGTTCCATTTCAGTCCTCAGTAGGTTTTGGAAAAATTGCTCAGTTAAAAATGGTAAAATAGCAACTGATCAAAAGTAACATATAGTGACATAAAAAAAAATCTTTTGGATTATGTTTTCACCATAAGAAAACAAGAAACAAAAAACAGTGGTAGAATTAATACCTTTATATTATAATAAATCCGTGACCACTTAACATTTCACTCCTTGCCACTAAGGAAGAAGAATGCCTAACTTATGATCAGAAATCAAAATAAGTTCCCATCTCTACCAATAATGCAGGATATTATTTAATTTTCCATATCTTTGTGTACTTATCTATACAAGGACAGGTAAACTTAAGTGAACCAAGCTCTAACAGATTTTCTAAGAAACATGCACAAAATATTTACATGAAAAAACAGCAACACTAAACATTTTTTTCACCCTTATTTTATTATGAACCTCAGAATAAGTGCATCGAAGTACTAGAAAGTGCTTTTTCCTTATGTATTTTGGTGTACGCAAAATTGTATAACATACTATATATATAAATGGAGGTATCAATATGTAAACAAAGATCCATGGAATCAGCTTTTAGAACTCACCTGTCTCAATGTCTCAATAAATGTTTACATTAGTTCAGATACTCTTTCCAAAAAAAGGAATGGATTTCTGTTGCCGTTCGCTGTCTCTGGCCGCGCAGTCTCTGGTCTCAGCTCTTGGCAACGTAACGTGTTCACCCGGAGGTCGGGCTCTCCGGGGCCATCCTACCCCGCTAGGGGACAAACCACGTAACACCAATATGGTTGGAGTGCCGTTTATTGCTTGCTGCTCACTACAGTTATACTCCTTTCGAATGTGGAAGCTTGCTCTGCCACCAATTAGCAACAATGTTACCTTATATGGCTATGTACTGATTCTTCAAAGTAAGACAGCTGACTCGCCTTAATCTCTGCTGACCCTTTGCTTTCCGTAACATCGCGAGATCTTCCGAGCGCCAGGCCCCAGGCCCTAAGCCTAAGTTTGGCCAAGTCAACTTATGTCAAGCACGAAGCCATATTGCTATATCTATATATCCGTCCACAGATTTCATGCAAAGTGGAAAAAAAATTAAAACAAGAGGGACCTCATTTATTTTCTCTGTAGATGTCTCATGTTGGTTCTTTTTGAATTCTTCATTTATCTTTTGTCTTGCAGCTAAAGTAAGTAAAAGCAATTTTATCTTTACTTAGCAGCGGCTCAAAAGCCACATTCCTAAGGCCTTTCTAGCTATCTCTCAGCAGCTTTTTAACCTGGTTTATGTCAATGTTCTTTTGGTTATCTACTCCTTTCCATTAAAAGAAAAATTCCATCCCCTTCCCGGTGCATTCAACCCAAAGTGATTTTTGTTTGTTTGTTTGTTTATTTTTAATACACTATTTCCATGCAATTCACATGATAGTGTCTTATTTTGATTTCATCAGCATAGTGGTAAAACATAATGCTACAACTGCTCATCCAGTATTCTGATTTTTTTTAAAAAAATAACATTCAGACATTATTACTAAAAGTTTTCATTACTACAGAAGCACTATTGAACCCCTGAACAGTAATTACAATAAAGAGGATCAAGTCAAATTCTTAGTACAGTTAAGCCTGCTTTGACTGGACTGAAGAAGGAGGGTGGGGCATGGTGTGGGAAGCTAAAAAATCCCAGAAAGATCACCAAGTCTCCAAAAAGAGACATTTTCAGCAACATTATACTTAAGAAATATGGCACAAGTCTAACAACAAGGTTTTCATTTCAACTTATAGGATGTCTGGTTATGGACACACAAACCTTTCCTCAATGACTGCCTATTAAAAGTGGCAGACAGTCATTTAAAGGAAGATTATTTTAAGAATTATTTTCTTATTATTTTCTTTCTTACTATATTCTTTTGCCTACTAACCAAAAGTGTTGGTTAGTTCCTCTAAGTTCATTCTCTCTTGCAAAATATGCACAAACACATTTGGTAGAGAAGAAAATCAGAATGAATGTTAATTCTATCCCCTCTGTTTTTTTTTTCCCCATAAACCAAAATTAACACGAGTTCCCTCACATTAGCACTGTTGCTTCTGTTAATGGCAAAATAGCATTAATGACTTGATATTGTCTGTCTTCACCACACACTTTCATAACAAGCATAGGGAAAAATGGTAAAGTTAAAAAGTGAGAAAGAACCAAATACAGGTAACCATTTATCTTCAACAGCTAAACTGAATGAGACAGGGAAATGATTGCTGAAATGACTGTTACCTTGACCTGACATAAGCCAACCCTGATAACAGAAGTAGTACTCCTGTCTCCTTCCCTTGAATTTTGGTTATTGCATCACCTACTCACTGTTCCGAATAGAGCACATTAGCATAGGTAAGTACTGTCTAGTGCTGCAGGATTGATTTGAGTTAACATCAGTCACCTCCACAGCCTCCAAAATAGGGGGAATTTTCACCTACCTTCTCCACCTTTTATATTCTTTTTGGGAGAGAAAAAAAAATACACGCACAAAAAACAAAAAGCCTCACAGTAAAATGCTTGTAATCCCCTCAATTGATTAGGGAAGTGATTAGATGTCATATCAAGTCTTCATAACCGCAAGAACAAAACTTACTAGGAATCAAAAAAAAACCACTCAGGCAATGTAGCATGCAAAGAGAAGAAGATTCCAGAGAGAGAGAAAGAATGAGAGAGACCAAGAAAGAGACTAAGACAAAGAGAGATTGAGAGAGAGACAGAGAGCGAGAGGGAGACTGAGAAAGGGAGAACAAGGCATATATAGACAAAAAGAACTAGAGAGACTGAGGGAGACCAAGAGACGGAGAGTCAGAGAGAGGAGAGAAAAGAGAGAGAGACTGAGAGGGAGAGAGAAATGCAGAGAGAGGCAGAGAAAGAAAGAGAGAGGGACCGAGAGAGAGAATGACGGAGAGAGGGACTGAGAGAGACCAAGGGAGAGAAAGAGTTCCAGAGAGATAGAGAAATCAAGAGACAGAGACAGACAGACAGACAGAGAGTCCGAGAGAGAGAGATCGAGAGAATGAGAGACAGAGAGAGAACATGAAAAACACATAAGAGAGACAGAGACACTGAGGGAGAGAGAGAGAGACCAACAAAGGAGAAAAAAAGACAGAGACCGAGAGAGTGAGAAAAAGACAGAGAGAAACCAAATGAGAGACCAAGAGAGACTGAGAGAAACCGAGAGAGAGACCAAGAGAGAGAAAGCCTGAGAAAGATAGAGACTGAGAGAGATAGAGAGACTGAGAGGGAGGGACTGAGAATAATACAGTGCTAGAGAGAGAGAGAGAGAGAGAGAGAGAGACCAAGAGAGAAATTGAGAGACTAAGAGCAAGATCGAAAGTGAGAGAGACCGGGAGAGACACAGAGAGAGAAACCATGAGAGAGAGAACCGAGAAAGAGATTGAAAGGGTAAGAGCATGACCAAGAGCAAGAGAGACCAAGACAGTGAGAGAGAGACACCGAGAGATAGAAAGAGATAGATGGAGAGAGAGATAGAGGAAGAGAGAGAAAGAATGAGATAGAGTGAGAGAGAGAGAGACTGAGAGAGAAAGAGACTGAGAGGGAA